CCCCCCCCCCCCCCCCCCCCCCCCGGAGATCTCGGAGATTCGTATTCTACCGAGTACACACACACAAAACAGGGTGGGTGTGGTGTCCATTCCATGCAGTCGGGTGCCCTCTGTACAGAACGTGCCACCGCGTAACAACTCAGTCTTGAGCCTAAAAACATCCAGAATCTAAGAACTTGGCCATAAGAACCAGTACTCAGTCGTGAAAGAAGCCTACTTGTACACTAAAACCTATGTAGTCGCCGTGCGTGTGGGACTGTACCCCATTTTGAGAAAAAATAGGGAACGAGCCTCGCCTAATTTAAGGGGCGCTTTGAGTGGCGGCGGCTCGTTCTGCAGTGCGGGTTGTGTGCCAAGCGCTTTCCCGGACTATGGCGGGGACTCCCGCACTGCTGTGCGATGTGTCAAACCATCCTGAGCATTCCGTCTGTGTCGAGTCAGTTTTTTCACCCGCACTGGCTGTGCAATGTATTGACCACCTTGATCATTCCATCTGCGCCAGCCAATTTAACCCGCACTGTAGAGGACCCCCGACTGCAGGTAGTTTTTTTTGGTATCCTTGCCGATGTTTCCCCTCGTGACCGTAGGGCGCCGGGCCAGCTGCTCAGGCCCCATCTGTACGTTTTTGTGATGCGATTTACCGTAGGTGACGTAAGATATCACACACCCCTGGATCGATTCTCCAAGCTCGGAGGACTCCAGAGCAGAGGAGAGTGGCGGGGCAGAAAAAATGGCGGGAGGCGTTGCGACCGTCCCGTCGAGAGCTTTCCGAAAACTTCGTGTTCGATTTTTACATCTCGCTCGTCGTGCTTTGAAAATCGGCCAACGGGGTGTGATGCCTTGTATCATACGTCACGCAGGGTATCCTCCGCTCATCTTACACTTACAATCATTCAGCGACCATGGCGGTGCCGCACCCCCCCCCTCCTCTTTTGGGAAAAGACGTGGCGTTATTTTTCTTGTTCATCACTTTCGAGACAGCGCTCATACACGGGAAAATCGACCGGCCAAGTTAAGACTAGTTTTGGACAGATGAAGCTACTAGACAGAGAGATGGGAAAGGTTTTTAGTTGGAAGGCAAAAAGCACCAACGGACATACCATTCCTGCCGGGCACGAGCTGCTGTCTCCAATCAGCTGTCTCACAGCAGCTCCCCTTAGGCCCCCCCTCCTCTCCCCACCCCTTGTCTTCGACTTGCAGGTGGAAGAAGAGTTGGCGAAGAAGAGGGAAGGGGAAGCGAAGAAGTCGGGGCCGGCGGCGTTCGACATGGAGGGGGGGGGTGCTATCGGGGGCGCCGGGGGGGGGGGGGTGCGAAGCCGCCGGGGGGCGGCGAGCGAGCATGGCGGCCAAGTCTCTCATGCAGGCGAAGGTCTCTCAGAGGCAACAGCAGCAGCAGCACTATTTTGCAGTAGCACTACGCAGCCCCGAGGCCCAAAACCAACTCGTGTGGCATAAGATAGTCATGTCGGTTTCGCCCAATTCGAGTGTCTGGTGATGTTCCGGTTTCCATTGCTCCACGTAGAACGGAGGGTCGTGAATAGGAGGAAGCGAATCGATCGTTACGCTCTCGTGTGCCGACGGGGTTATGTGTCGTGATGCACAGCGGAGCATATAGCCTCCTGTAGGTGCTGCCGCAGATGTGCCGCCCTAGCCGATGCGATATGTGGTTGGGGGGCATTGTTATGAATTCGAGGAGCCTGTTGTTGATCCGGTCGTCTGCTATTTGGGGCGGTTGTGAGCTATGCTCCCCGCCTCCCGCAGCTGTCACCGACGGTGCGTACCGTGCTTTGACGGAATATGTCTCCCCTCCTGCGGTGGCGTTGGCCGTGTCGTTCTGTGTACCATACCGCAGACGCCGCTCACAAGAAGCGCCTACTTTGAGTATGGCTGAATACCGGACAGCAGTTCTCAACGAATTGGGCACATCCTATTTGCTACGCCTGCATACTCTAGGCTGAGCCCAATTTTCGCCAATATTGTGGTTGTTTGAGCACTCTTGAGCGTTGGTTCTTGTGAACATGTTTCATTTTTCATGTATGAGCGTGCCGGCGCTCCTACGTGTATTTCGTCCCTTCTGACGAAATCGAGACAACTTTCCCCCCAGATCGCCACACAATAGCCCGGGAATCCCCCCTCCCACCCTCCCAGATGTGGCATTACTGGTTTGCCGGAAGGTGCAGACTGGATCCAGAAAGAGACGGGACGAAAACAAAAAAATAAACTGCTGTACCTAATGCCCCACCCTCGATAGGATACGGAAAGTGTTTTTGGGCCACCTTTGGCAAAAGTTGAAAGGGGACGATCGGCCATCGGTGATCGTGTGAGCAGTGCTCCGTCCTCTCGAGGACGCCTGGTCGAACAACTAGGGCATGCAAAACATGAGTGCGCCCCCCCCCCCCCCCCCTTCCTCCTTCGCGTGAACTTTCCTCTGCCGTGCCCCGACATCCCAGGTGATGACGATGTCCTTCAGCATGACCTTCTTGGCGGAGTGGGGGGACCGGTCTCAGATCGCGACGATCGCGCTAGCGACCAACAAGGACCCGTTCGGGGTGACGGCGGGAGGCGTCATCGGGCACTCGCTGTGCACGGGCATGGCCGTAATCGGGGGGAAATTGCTGGCTGCGCGGTGAGTGCGGTGGTGGTGGTGGTAGCTTTATTTTCGCGACTGGTTGTGTTACGGTTTTGTCTGCACGGTGAGGGTGGTAGTGGCAGTGGTTGTGCTCACCTGGTAAATAGTGTTTTTTTCTGTGGTGAGTTGTTGTTGCCGCTGTTGTTTTTGGTGATGGTTTGTTTTTTTCTTTTTTCGCGTGGTGGTTGAGCGCATCGGGTATATATCATATGGACATTCTCTCTCTCTCTCCTTGTTTCATGCGTCGTTTTTTTTTTTCTTCGAAAATTGACATATGCCGCCACAGAAAAGACTTAATATTCGTTCGAGATACACCTAACTCGCTTTTTTTTTCCTTTTTTTTTCCTTTTTTGCTGTATTTTTTTGTTCTTCTGCAGGATCTCCGAAAAGACCGTCCACCTAGTCGGGGGAGCCTTGTTCCTGGTCTTCGGTTTGCACGCCTTGGTGTTCGGCGAATAAAAAAAATATGATATTAAAATAAAATCAAGTCCGTTTTTTTTTCTGTACTGTACGCTGAGAATACGTGGTGGTGCTAGTGTTTTTATTTGTACATGGTCATTTTTTGTTGGTTTGCCGTCGCATGTTTTATAGCTTTCTTGGCGAAGTGCGAAATTGCTATTTTCGTTAGTGTTTTTCTTTTCTTTTTTTGCCTCCGTATCTTCTTTGGCTGGTGAGTGCGAAACGGGCATTCTATCTCATGTATGTAGGATTAAGTACACCATAAGCCGCCTCACGGCTACCTCGCCCGCTTGCAAGCGTCACGGAGCAAGGGAGCGAGCTAGTAGTCTGAATTTTTTTCTGGGATGAACCAACTCCCCAAGCACGGTCATTTTTTTTTCTGGGATGAACCAACACCCCAAGCAAGCTGTTTTTTTTTGGAGATCAGCCGCCCAGGCACGACAACATTTTGTGCTGGGATGACCCCCAAAACACGGTAATACGGTCAAATACCGTTTGTTCCGGGATGACCCAGCCCGAAAATACGTTGGACTTTTTTGTTCTGAGATGATGAGAAGCCCTACGAAAACACGGCTCCGGGATAGTAATTGTTTTCTCGAAGTCCAAAGCACAGAGTGGACGCGCGACGAGAGGGTGCGTAGATGGGTCGGGCCCGAAGGGTGACCGGGGCGCGCCGACCTGTCATTTTGCCGGCTTCTCGCTTGCGGCGGCAGATACGCAGACCGGTAGGCTCTATTCCGTGCGGGGGAATGGGAAAAACGTCTTTTCGGCAATATCCAGCTTAACTTTGTTTACCGGCGTCATATGTGTGTGCTGTCTCTTTTTGGGTCGGTTGCTTGTGGATCACTCTACAATTGCTCCCCAGCAGGGTCATGTGTGGCGCCTTTCTGTCTACGCACACCCCCGGGCGGTCGGTCTCGACTGGTCGTACGACGGGGCCGGTGTGGGGAGCCATCAGTCCTAACAGCCACCATGTGTACTGTAGCGGTGGCTCTTACGCCATATCGGGTCGGGGTTGTGCTAGGGAGGCCCCGCGAGGCAACGGTTGAGGTACCCCCGAAAGCGGGTTATTTCCTCCCGAAGGGTCTCGACGGGGGGGGGGGGGGGGGGGGAG